CCCCCCCCCCCCCCCATTTTACCATCCTTTCTGCTCAGTCCAAACCAAGACTCCAAGGGCATTTAGGATCCAAACAGAGGAACTACTACCTGACCCCCGCAATGAGTCTGGGCTTGTGTTTCTGAAGTGTGTCCCCGTGGAAAGCCATTCTTGACATTGAACGAAAACCTGCGATTCAAACTCCCCAAGCCCCCCGGGGTGCACACGAGTCCCTGCTGTTGCTTAAATGAGCTTTTGGGATTTGGATCGAAGATTTAGGCACAAGTAGACGCACTCCCTTCTCGCTTCTGCACCAGCCCCATTTGTGTAGGCAGCTTCTCTAGCCACCAAACTCAAGGGGGGGTGTCCATCTCCGGAGCCCCTTAAGGGAAGAGAAACTTGCAGGTGCTTTGATCAAAGCCACAAAGCTGCTGATGTCCCGCTCTCACAAGCCTTTCTGAGGGGCGGGGGGGAGCTGCAAGGAAGATACAGCCAACGCTGAGCTGTGCTGATTGCCAACCTGCTCCTGGGTCCAATTCAAGGAGCTGGTTTTCACCTTTAAAGGCCTGCACGGCACGGGCCGGGTTATTTGAGGGACTGCCTCTCCCTGGCTAGATCTACCCGTGCCATCAGGTCCGGCAGGAGGGGCATGGTGTGGGTCCCATCTGCTAAGGAGTTCCATCCGACGGGACCCTCTTCTCCCGTGGCACCTGCTGGCATTTGAAAAATCCCTGAAAACACATTTTTTTCGGCAGGCTTGGAGATACTGGAGAAACGGGGAGCCCGCGAGATGGTTACACTATGGATAGGGTGCTGGTCTGTTCTCCGGTGGCTTTATTTTTGTCTGTGTTTCACTGTTGTTGAAACCGTTGTAACTATTGTTTCCACTGGCCGCCCAGAGTCCCGTTTGCTTTTAAAGGCACCAGTACGAGTTGTACTCGTACCAGTTGGCTTGCAGGAGCGAAAGTAAAGAAGCGGTGAGAAATCAGTTCGGCCTACAAAGTTTGTGCAACTTGCGCTTCGGAGACAGAGCGCACCGCGATACGTTTAAATCAATCCCTTTCCGAATCCTGTAACTAGGGCCGTGTGCTTCCACGGGGCAGAAGAATCGCGTGCACCAACGAAGCAAGCCAGAAATTCAGGGCCCGGGCCCGGGCCGCTCTAAACTGAGAATTCGGGGCCTTCACCTGGCGCAAGGCTCCCCCTCCCCCTCCCCTAATAACGCGACTGCAACATGCAGCATTACCTGTAGGCTTTTCCAGCCCGCGGAGGGCTTGAAGCAAGCTATCAAGACAAAAACAGGGGTTACGGACAG